CACCCTTAGTCATGAGTTCCTTGAAAGTGTGAACTTGGAAACGTCATATTTGTAAAATTTGTTAATGGAACTCTCGTATGAATGTTTATACGAAAAGACTCTCCGCGAGGCCTTACTAAAACAAAAAATCACAATTAAGAACAACGTCAAAGTCATACGGAGAGACTTCCAAGTGGGCAGTCTCGTCCTAAGGAGAAATCACAACATTTCTCGTGAGGACAAACTCGCCGGAAATTGGGAAGGGCCCTATCGCATTCAAGAAAAAATAGAAAATAAGGCCTACTACCTAGGACATCTTAACGGGGACGAACTCGTCCGACCATGGAATGCCGAAAAGCTAAAACAATATTATAGCTACGACCATAACTGTCGGCGCGCTACGTCGAGACGACGAGCACAATGTACCGACCAGAAATGCACACACAGGTACAAGCGTTACATACTAAAATGATTCAAGGCAAGCTTTTGATCTAGAACGGACAAACCTCTTGCCCGACAGCGGTACCTCGACCGAGCCCTCCGTCGCCTACGTACCGCGAATGGTAGAACACCCAACTCGCAATGAGAAGTTCACGCTGCGAACTCAGGCTACAAACGCGTCCTGAGCTCCGCTCTCATGTCCGAAAACAACCCTGGCCTTTCGACCAGTTCCTCCTACTGTCGAACATCACTCTGTTAAGCGAACTCCGAGACTTGACGAAATTATTCACTTGAATGGCCCATACAATGGGCACAAGTAACGAGCAGCGTGTGGCACTTAGAAAATTTAAAGCAATGTAAAAACATGCATAAATCATACGCAACCAAAAATAAATATTAACATAAGACGACCACGAGAGCTGCAATTGTACTCGTTACAATAAAAAGGGGACCACGCCCCATACGAAAAGATAAATTACAAGATTATCGCATGTAGGCCAGAAGTACAACAAAAGGGAGACTAGTCAGCCACAGGTTGAGCCTCGTCACGGGCAGGCTTCCCCTGCTCCTCGGCAAATTTGAGGAAGTTCGGGATTACGATCTGGCCACCTACCACGCTGTAGAGAAACCCGATCCCCTCGGTAGACAACTCGACCCCGGGGTTCGCTATCTTCAGCTGCCCCACGACATTGTTGAAAGCTTCCTAAGTGGTCCCCACGCAGTCCTCCTCAGCTTGATTAATGCAGGCGATAAGCTCGGCTCGAGTATTTAGACTCTTCACCTCATCGCTTTTATCCTTAGTAGCGGCGATGACAACCCTCAGCGATGCAACGATCTCCTCCGTAGCTTTCTTCTGTGCAGCCAGGGTGTTTTTCTCCTTGGTGACTTTGACCAACTCATCCTTCTATTTCTTTACAGCCTTCTCGATGGACTTCTCTGTTGCCTCCTTCGCGGCCTTCAGCTTTTCTTCCAGAGTTGCATTCGCAGCCTGGGCCTTTTTTAGCTCCACTTCTTGGAGAGCCCCCTCCTCGGTGTAGACCACCACCATGCCCAAGACCCTCATAAAGGCAACAACATCTTGGGCCAGCATTGTCCTCTTACTCGGATGATCCAGCTCCTCGAGGTTCAAAGATTCCTCCCGAAGAACTGAGAGGGAAGAGCCTTCAAAGAAACTCCGATTGAGAAAGCATGGAGGTAGGTCAAACTTTCTTTTCTCCGCCTCATGAGTCAGATCGAGGATCTCGCCCGTCTGAGGGCGCTTAACCCGGGAAGTTACTGGCAACGGGGAAGTATGGGCAGCTGCGACTCTGGAGGTTGGAGTCCTCGACCCCGTTGGGGGCGGAACCACTTGCTCACTCCGGCAGCTCTTTCTGACCTTCTTGCCCGATTTCATCTTTGCCTGGACATTCTTCACCATGCGCTCCTAGGACGAAGATATCTTACCTGCAAAACGACAGACACACGTTAGTAAACAAAGAAAATAATAATACGAGCAAGCTAAGAAGAAATAAATAGCTACCCAGAAGTTCTAAAGCCTTCTCACGAGTGTTACACTCGAGGAACTACTTCGTGTTAATATATTGGGCTTCCACCTTGGGCCCCCCATCTTCTTCATAAATAATCTTCCCACTCCTGGTCACACACTGAGCAGGGAGAAAACTGTCCACAAAGGCCATAAGCTTGGAATAGCTGGCCAGATTATCATCCCTAGCATGTAAGGAGTGGCGAGATAATCGTCGGTTCCCCAGGTAAAATGGTCCCCGCTCCAGTAGAAGGGGAACTTTAGCAATATTTTCCCTTGAGCCTTGCCCTCCTCGTCAATAAGGGATTCCCCATTCTCGTCTATTGAAACCTCCCAGAAGAACAAGGAGTCGGTGTCCCTCTCCAACACGAGCTCGATGATGTAGAACCTCTCCTTGAATGTCCTGATGGACTCAGAGAAGGGTTTGAATAGCTGCTTCCCCTGCCTCAGGGAGACCCATCCGAATTGCCGGCCAACAACCTGGCACTGAAGATGGAAGACGGTGAAGAAAAGGGGAAGAATGGCTCCTATCTTCAAAAATTCGCATGTAAGCTTGAATGCCCGTATGAAAGCAATTGAGTTTGGATGTAGTTGCGAGGGCGCCAAATCTAGATGTGCAAATACTGCCACTTGAAAGTCAGTAAAAGGCAGCCTTAGCCCCATCTCTTTGAAGACGTACTCGTACATGAGGAACCTCTCCCCGCATGCCGAGCAGATTCGATCCTCCTCTCAGGGAAAGTGGACCCTCCAATCTCCCTCAGCCCCCATCGTCGTGAAGGCATCTTGGGTATAAGAAGCAAAAAAGGAGGCATACTCTCGAGGCTCAGCTACGACCATCTCGTTCGCGGTACTACTTTGGGCGGAAGTTTCGTCGTCATTCCGAGGAGTGGAGGTCTCGCCATCATTCCATAGAGCGAGAGTGTCATCCGTGCTGCTATCTTTTGAGGAGCTTTCCTCGGACAAATCCCTTATAACTTCGTCCTCAGCTTCGTGAGACATCTCATTTACCTGAAAAGCAGGGGACAAAAGTGAATTCGATGACAAAGTCAAATCCACCCTTCCACCGCTAGACATGTGAAAGGGCTCCCGAAGGCTCGGGGACAATGTCCCCGACCTACGCCCTTACTCAAACAACGCAACAACGACGCGAGGAAATTCCCCTGGAAACCCTTCAAAACCCACGCGAGGAGGTCCTCCCTGAGGAGTTACCCCGAACTCCGATGAAGGTCCACAGGAAAACTCATAAATACATCGAAAAACACACGAATCCCACAAGCGATAAGTCCATCAACCATCGCAACAGTGCCAGAATCAACTAAAATCCTAAGTTCCCGAGGCTCCGACGGCGGCGGCAGAGAATGACCTAGCCACCACCAACCACCAACGGTCGCTGGAAACCACCCATACTCTATCCAATTTCATCTTAACCGCATGTACACTAAGCAAAACAGAAGCTAAAACTCTTAAAACATAGAAGAGTTAGGAAAACTTACGTGATCGAGGAAGAAAAATAGGTGGTCGGCGAGCCCTGGATGTTGCGTCTGCGGCGGAGGTACGGCGGTGAACGGTTGAGACGATAACAGGTAGCAAGAGAAGAAAGAGATGCGAAAAGTGAAAATGTGCGCTTTTTCCTCTATTTATAGGCAGAGCAGGGACACGGGCACGCACGGCGTAGGGCATCATCATGACCCTAGCATAACCATCATTATGCATTAAATTCAGCATGTGGCTCGATGTACATGTGGCACTCCATCCCTTCAAGTCTCATTAACCGTTTGGTCTCCCCGTTCGCCGGGCACTCAGGACAACGTTCCAGATTCCCCAGACGTTGATGCCTTCGAGCACTACAAAACGATCATATCTCAGTAACTGGCGTTGACCATACTCACTCTTCCTCGATTTGCTGGTTGCTCTTAAGTCATCACTCCTATGCTTAGAAGCAACGACTTAGGGGGCTCCTGTTCCAGACTGACCCAATGGCTAGGCATGGCCCAATCCATTTTTGCTCCTAGAACGACCTAATAGCATTAGCTCTGCCAACTAAGGGCAAAGTTAAGCTTCCTGTCCTCTGCCCCTCTGCCGAGGAAAGCTGGCCAGTTGACCCCCAGGATCAGCATCAGCTACCCCTCGTCACATTCCTGCCCGTCACGCACGGTTTCACCATTCAGAAACAATCACGACGCCCGTACCTGCGACCGCGCCCTTCCCCGTGGCAACTGCTAGTTTCGAGCACCTTTGCCCGTCCCAACGACTAGTTTCTGGCAGTTACCTATTCTTTGGGGGAACGATTATCTCGCCCCGAAAATAGGGACTAATGGCCAAACGTTGAGGGCATTATAAAAACCCTCTCACTTGAGAATGTTAGGTATTCTAAATCATTCCAAATTACCTTAAGACATACACTTTCTATACTTGTCTTCTCTTCGCCTAATTCTTACTTTAGCATCCTTGCAGGTACACCCCTCCTCATCCTTGCAACTCGACATCACCAACAATGCCTTTGCCCCACTTCAAGTTCTGATCCGTCGTCGAGATTATATATAAAAGGTTTTAATTTAGTCTCTTTATTAAATTGCTCACTCACTTGTTATGTGTTCTGCAACATACATACAATTTAGTATTTTTCCTAAAATTTAACAAAAAAAAAACAAATTTAACTAACAAAATAATTTTTAAAAGTCTAAATTATAACTTTTATTAAATAAAATACTGAAATTAAAATTAAAATTAAATTAAAGGATCTCCCGACTAAAACTATCATGTTTTAGAAACAAAATTGGAAAGAGAGTATTCGAGGGATAAATTGTTTGTTAAACTTTTAATATACCACGTGATGTCTTATGAATTAAGCATCACACTTTATTAGGATGTACACCATCTTGAAAACTTTTGACTTTAGTTCAGATGAATGAAGACGTTTTACTTTTTTTTTTTCACAAGCAGACAGAGTCTAACCATTGCTTCTCTGCCCCGGTTTGTTGGATGAAGAGTGAAGAACTAACTCATTCATGAGTCAGTAGTCAGTGTTGTTAACTAACAATTTCCGAAAGAAACAAATATGGGAGATTCCAAGGTTGAAACGATTTCACGATTAGCTCAATGGAAAATCGACAACTTCGGACCCTGTTCTTACAAGAAATCCGACCCTTTCAAACTCGGAATTTGGAACTGGTAAACTAACCATACACGCATACTTGTTGAATGAATTCAATTTTTGAGTTGTTTCATGTTCTTGCTTTGTTCAATTTCAGGTACTTGTCTATAGAGAGAAATAGGTATCTGTATATTCATCTATTTCCTGAACATTCGCGTGTTTCTAAAGAACAGCCTCCTATTGCTCGATTCATTCTTCGAGTTTCTAATACTGCTTCTTCTTCATCCTCCTCCCGTAGATTTTATATTTCTCCTGGTATGGTATCTCTTGCTTGTTTTCTTGTTTGATCCTTTAGGAGCTAGTTCAGTTCTATAATATGTATACTTGTTTTGATCATTGTATGGATCAGTCATTGCAAAATCATGGCTTGATTTAGTTCTCCTTGAATTCGGTTAGTAGGGTTAGATTGCTAACAAGAACTTAGAAAAGGTTACTATTTAGTTCAGTACTAGAAATGGTCGGTGAAATGATGAGTTAATGCCTTGCTGCGGCAGAGAGGGTTGACCTGCAAGATTAGTGCTCCAACACCCAAGTCAGTCAGAGAATGATGAATAATGTGAGAGTATGAATTTGAATTATACTTTTTTCTTCTCGTGGGATACCTTATATATGAAAGTTGATTGAGATGTCCTACACCTGGATCAGTTGTGGGGCTTTCCCTTATTGGGCCTTTTAACCGGCCCAGAACAGTTACCACATTGATTGATTTAGATTCCTCCACTGATAGGTAATGATAGTTGGTAGAGTGATGATTTTTATGGCGGAGAGGCTTAATTGACTTAGGGCTTTCAATTTAAGGGAGGATTGTTGGCATTTTCTCGTGTTTTATTTTCTTTAGTTTTGTTTGATATGAAGACTCTAATTTATCATGTGAAGTCTCATTTTCTCAAATTGAGCCCTGTTTGAAAGGGACAGAGTTAGGGGGATTTGACTCGTCTAAAATGAATAACGAGTACAGAAGGGTTCTTATTTCAATAAAATCATGGTTTGTTATAATATGCATGTAATATCATCCATTTGGTTTACTCACCATTGATTGATATTGCATACTTTAGAAGTGACATATTTGATCTTGGGGGTATTGATTGCGTGAAGATAGGATAGAACATTTCATGGATACTGTCATTTTTGTAGGGTAAGAATTTGATTTTAGTTTATTTTCCCCCCAACCATCCTTACAATGTTGCAGCTGCTACTAGTGATTACTCAAGGGTGTTAAGAAGAGACTGATTGGAGTAAAACAAAATTATTGTTGACATGTCAATGTAGTGACGCGTACGTGCTATACAATTTGAGAGATATTTTAATGATTGAATAAAGATAAAGACCAGTTCTATCCCATATCTCTCAAACTGTAGAGGCACATGCATGAACACCAAACACGACACTAGCACCGCTAATAATTTGAGAAGTAAAACTAATTGAATGTAATCGGTGACGGACACCGCACACATGTTGATCATAGATACACATTCAATCTGAAGTGTCATTAATGCAAAAGTATTGAACGGAATCCATTTTTACTTGTTTGATTTTCTTCATTCTTATTGTTCTTTGTTAGCAATCTATATGACAAAGCTTAGTGATATTCTACTCCATTTCATCCGTTTTCGGTGATCAAACCATAGTGAAAATAGGTGTAAAAATGTTGGCCATAATGTGCTGTCTGAATTCACTGCCATGATCTTTATGATGTATTACAATACAAGGCTTATATTTCTAGGTTCCCTGAATTTTTTGTGTTCGCACCTTAAATTTGCAACCGATAAGTTTAATATCGCATTTACCTGTTAGCTACTTTAAAATTGTATGATTAAATGCTGATAGAGGTTGGTATTTATGTGCTTGTAATGCCACAGTCCATGAAAGGGTGCTTAGAACATGTGACGACTTTGTCTGGCCTGTGGATACTACATTCCTTGGTCGCTTGATTATCGATGTTGAATTTCTTGACCTGAAGATCTATCCTCTGAATGTGAGTCTCTAATTTTTATAATCATCACTATGTGAATGCGATGTTGACGTAAATGGATAAAATATATGACTTAAGATTCTGCTTGGATAAACAATTTAATGAAACCCTTATAGCATAAATGCTTATCATATAAGATATTTCGATATCAAAATATAAAATAAAGTTAAACTATTTTCATATAAGATATAAGTTGTTTTTATAAACTATCATGTATAGAATTAAGCTGAAAACAGCTTAATAATATGTAGTTTCTTAACCTTTGGTCTTTTTACCCCATTGGAGTGTCAGGGTGGAGAAGCGAGTTCTATATGGCCATCTGATGGAAAACTGCAATCTGTTGCAACTCAAAACACTCTCGGATGCCTCTCTCGCATGCTTGACGAAGCTATACACGCTGATCTCACCATTATAACTGCAGACGGTACACTTAAGGCTCATAAGGCAGTTATGACCGCAACTTCTCCTTTGTTCGAGGCCTCATATCATGACAGTGACAATGACAAAGAGTCATCTACAATCCACATAGAAAACATGTCACAAGAATCCTGCACAGCCCTTCTGAGTTACATGTACGGAACAATAAAACCTGAAGATTTCTGGAAGCACAGGCTTGCATTGCTTGGAGCAGCCAATAAATACGACATCAGTGATTTGAAAGATGCGTGCGAGGAAAGCCTACTCGAAGATCTTAACTCGGGAAATGTTCTGGATAGACTAAATGAGGCTTGGATGTACCAACTTCACAAGTTGAAGAAAGGATGTTTCGCGTTCTTATTTGATTTTGGTAAGATATATGATGTTAGAGATGAAATAAATACGTTTTTTCGCCATGCAGAAAGGGAGCTAATGTTGGAGATGTTTCAAGAAATGCTTACAATTTGGAAATAGGTTATATCACTGAAATTTTATGGCACCCTTGTGTCTGCAATATGATGGATCTATGTGTATAATCATGTTTTCAGTTTTTATGTAGATATAGTAGGACTGATCTACTCTCTTAACAACCTAGCTGTTAAAATGTCAAATGAAGGAGTACATTGTTATGTAGATAAGTGGCAAAATGATTTTGTTGTAACATGTATTGTGTTTCATGATTTCTTAAACTCCTACATCATTTCTTAGAGTTGTTGCATTTCATTTGATGTACTTATCTATACGCAGAAGCATGTTTATAGCATGACTTCTTCACACACTATTAGAAGTGGAAATAAGGGAGCCTGTTTTACAGGGGTCTATTTAGAAGTGGAAATAGTGAGGCCTCCACCTTGGACCTCCTATTTTTTCATGCCTCAAATTTTTATAATTTTAATTCGATTAATACTATTAATTTTTTAATATTAATTGTTTTATATCACATGGTACACATTTTGCTTATTAATTTTTATTAATTTTTTTTAGACCCGAGAATTTTTTATCCAAATAATCCACCTTTTAAAAACTAATCCACTTTCAAACAATTTTTTTTAATGCAATGGTGGTGTCAAGTGAATTGACGATTGCACCTAAAATTATAGTGGTGGCGTCAATTGGATTGATGCATGTATATGGTGTTGCTAATTCAATTGGCGCTAGTGTGCATAGTTTCAATGGTGACGTCAATTTATTTGGCGTTAGTGTGTATTCAAATGCATTAGAAACCTACCAATAACTGCACCGGTGAGAGTAATCTATTATATGTTGAAATCACTTTTCGTAATCAGAGGCAAAAAATATAGTTTGGTGTTACGGTTGGGGCAATTATTCAGTGAAAGCTGCATGAATGTGATGAAGGAGGAAACTGTCAAAGATAGCACACATGCGGTCACAATCTTTGACTGTCATAGACACACTTTCAGTGTAAAGGAAACAAGGGACCACAATGAAGAGAGGTCTAATAGAGACTATTGGGTCGAACTAAATAGAGGTTGGTGCTACTGTGGCAAGTTTCAAGCCTTCTGTATGCTTTGCTCCCATGTCATTGTGACATGTTCATATGCTCGCTAGGACGCTTCCAAGCATATATCCGTTGTTTACAAAGTCATAAATGTATTCAATGTGTACAACAATAGCTTTCTGGTGGTAGTAAAAGAGGATTATTGGCCTACATATCAAGGAAACATAATTTGACCCAACAAAAATATGCGACGAAAGAAAAAGGGTTGCCCCAACAACACATTATTAGAACAGAAATGGATACGACTGATAACATGGTAAGGTTAAGTGGTATATGTCGTCACATCGGATACAATCGAAAAAAATTGTCCCAATCTTGGAGCAAGTTCTGCATGATCATTTATTTTGTTCTTTAAATTTTTGTAACCATGAACACCCCTAAAACAGACAACACACAAACATAAACACGTCTAAAACAACAACACAAACAACAAATAAAAAAGACTTAACACCACAACATGTCTAAGCGTTTACAACAATCAAAACAATATCATCCCATGCAGACATCATATCCCTAACATCATTGTCATCTTTAACTCACACCCGCATACCCTGCATAGCGTTATTGTCATCTGCAATTGAGATGTACAAAACAAGCCTCTCGATTCTTCTAATTTCTCCATCATTAATCTCTCAGTCTAACCAACTTTCAAACTCTTTTCAAGATGCTAGAAACTTTGGATGTTCCAAAAACAAATTTTTATCGGAGGTTTCGTTGGCGAATAACATACATGCTCATCTCTTTTAACAATAATGATAGAGGTAGTGAAGAAAAGAAAATAAGAATATGAAAAAAGGTGCGAAGTAAATGGTAGAATACACCTCTATTTATACTAAAAAGATACTATACACACTGGTGTCAAATGAATTGACGTCACCATTGAAAGGATGCACACTAGCGCCAATTGGGTTGACAACATCATATAAAGGCGTCAATCCAATTGGTGCCACCACTGTAATTTTAGACTTAGTCGGCAATTCGCTTGGCACCATCACTATGTTTTAATTTTTTTTGTTTGAAAGTGAGTTAGTTTGTGAAAATGTGGAAAGATGGATTATTTTAGAAATATATTTGAAAAAATAGGTTATTTGGGTAAACAATTCTAGACTCGTGGGATGCATAGTAAATTAATTATTTTAACATATTATTAATATTAAATTGAACTAAAATACATAATATAACTATATTTTAAACTAAATTTGGATATTATATAGTCAATTACAAAAAAAAAATGAGATTTATAATAACATAAGTGATGAATACATGAATCTCATGTTTTACAAATTTAAAAAACTCTAAAGATACGAAAAACAAAATATAAAATTTTAGAAGCAAAAATTGTCGTTTGATCCAACTTGCTTTCAATGTTGAAAAAAATGTCATATAAAGCTAAATGTTCCTCAGAATCAGAATTAAAAGAAAACTAAAAAAATTCAGAAAGCCACAAAAATAAATAAATAGGGCATACATAACTTGGAACGACAATGATATAGAACCTTCTGATGAATCGGACACCTGTCTTATGAGAAATCATGAAGATGACGAGGTAACTTCTTACTTTTTTTTATGATGATTTATTTCTGTGAGACATTGGATCGAACTCTAGTGTGGTCGAAGTCTGTTCGCAAGTAATGCGTGTTGTAGTCGAAGTTTGTTCTAACATGCATGAGTAAATATTGCTAAGGTTGTTAGCATGAGTAAATATTGCTAAGGTTGTTAGCATGAGTAAATATTGCTAAGGTTGTTAGCATGAGTAAATATTGCTAAGGTTGTTAGCATGTTGAATTGGGTCTTGCTTGTAAGCCCAATTGTTTAAGTTAGCTTGTACCCTAAGTTAGCTTGTAATGGGTAATTGTTAAAAAGCCCATTAGGTTAGTGTGCTATTTTATTATAAATAGGATGCTAGTTTCTCAATCTGGGAATAAGGAAAAAAAAATAGGAAGATAAAATCCTAATTTCAAGGGAGAGAGGTTATTTTGTTATTCTTGTATACTTGTAATCTTGTTCTAAGAGAAAGGAAAGAATAGCAGTTTAATAACCAATCCTTGTTGTTCCTTGTTGTTTTACCTTGTTTTCTTTGTTAACCCTAACCCTTGTGAGTTTCTTGATCATTAAGAAACCGTTTATACTTTGTTTAAAGGTATCCGATTCACAACAAATTGGTGCGGTGAGCGTGGAGAAGATGCCTTCAACAAAGTATGAGATTGAAAAGTTCACCGGAGTGAACGACTTTGGTCTGTGGCGCTTGAAGATGAAAGCCCTATTGGTTCAGCAGGGTTGTTTGGAAGCGTTGAAGGGTGAGGCAGCCATGGACGCTGCGTTAACGGCAAAAGAAAAGACGGGCATGATCGAGAAAGCCCACAGCGCAATATTATTGAGCCTTGGTGATAAGGTTCTTCGACAGGTATCAAAGGAGACTACAGCATCGGGATTATGGGTGAAACTTGAAAGTTTGTACATGACCAAATCTCTGGTGAATCGATTATACCTGAAGCAAGCTTTATATTCATTCAAGATGAGTGAAGACAAAGTGTTGGCTGAGCAGTTGGATATGTTCAACAAGCTGATTCTTGATCTTGAAAATATTGATGTGAAGATCGATGATGAAGATCAAGCACTATTGCTGCTGTGTGCTTTGCCCAGAACACATGCTCACTTCAAAGAAACTCTCTTGTATGGAAGGGAGTCCCTGACCTTTGAAGAAGTTCAATCAGCCTTGTATTCTAAGGACTTGAACGAACGAAAGGAGCATAAACCTTCGACGGTGGGCGAAGGTTTGGCCGTTAAGGGAAAATTCTTGCGAAAGGATGGTAAGTTCGACAAGAAAAAAGGTAAAAGTCAACAGAAGTCTTATAGTGGCGAAACATCTAGTATTCGATGTTACCACTGTAAGAAGGAGGGTCACATAAGAAAGCTGTGCCCTGAACGCCTGAAAGATCATGGAGGTAATGGCAATGCAGCCATTGTTCAAGATGACTTCGACTCATCTGATGTTCTTGTGGTTTCAAGTGGCGACTCGAGGAAAGAGTGGATTATGGATTCAGGTTGCACTTGGCACATGACTCCAAACATAGAATTGTTCGAGGAGCTATGTGAACAAGATGGTGGATCTGTGCTGTTAGGAAACAACAAATCTTGCAAAATTGCAGGTATTGGATCTGTGAGATTCAAGCTCCATGATGAGTCAATAAGGTTATTGACTGAAGTCAGGTACGTACCTGACTTGAAGAGAAATTTGATTTCTCTTGGTGAATTCGACAGAAAAGGATATGTTTTTCAAGGAGAGAAACGTATCCTAAGAGTCATGAAGGGGTCGAAGGAAGTCTTGAGAGGCGTGAAGAAACAAGGCTTGTATACCCTTGAGGCTGAGGTTGTAAGTGGTTCGACAAATGTTGCATCCACGAAATCTATGTCGAAGACAAAATTATGGCACATGAGATTGGGCCATGTCAGCGAAAGAGGCCTGGTCGAATTGGGGAAGCAGAACCTGCTAGGAGGTGACAAAGTCGAAAAGTTGGAATTTTGTGAATCTTGTGTATTTGGTAAATCCTGTAGGGCGAAGTTTAACAAAGGCAAGTAAAGAACACATGGATCCCTAGATTACATTCATGCTGATCTTTGGGGGCCTGCAAGGAATCCTTCACACTCAGGTGCAAGGTATTTTCTATCCATCGTTGATGACTATTCTAGAAAACTATGGGTATTCATTCAGAAGACGAAGGATGAAACTTTTGAGAATTTCAAAAGTTGGAAGATTCTGGTCGAAACTCAAACTGGCAGAAAGGTTAAGAGGTTGAGAACCGACAATGGCCTTGAATTCTGCAACGAAGCTTTCGACAGTTACTGTGTTGGGTCTGGGATTGCAAGGCATAAGACTGTAGCAGGTACTCCTCAACAAAATGGCTTAGCTGAGAGATTCAATCGAACAATCCTTGAAAGGGTTAGATGCATGTTG